CTCGGCCCAGCCTAGGGAGAGAGAAGATTCCAGGCCATGAGGTGCCATTCAGCAGGCAGCAGGGCAGCTCCGGACAAAGCCATGAGCCAAGGGACAGTGTGGCCTACTTGGCTGGGAATGCTGTCCAGGTACCTGAGGAGAGGAAAATGTTATGAGGAGAACCACACAGTGTCAGCAGCATGACTGGCCAGGGGCGACTCTGGACCCTAGCTAGGCCGCTCAGGAGTTAGGAATGAGAATTCAGAAAGAGCTAACTAATCTCTGTGCATGATTGGAACAGAGGATGAAAGGGGCAGCCACTGTCCACCATAAATATTAGAGCAATGAAGGAGAGAGAGAGAGAGAGAGAGAGAGAGAGATGGGGGAATGATGGCCTTGCCATTGACAGCTTTCCAACACTTGTAGCCTTAATTAATTTTCTTCATTGGATAATATGAGATGGTGTCTCTACTTGCAACCAAAAGAAACTTGAATAAAGCAAGAAGATACATTGTGGAAGTTCTGTGTCCATTAATTACCATCTACTAAGAGAAAGACACACCCTCAACAATTTAACTATAAATTGATGATGATAAGTGTGGAAATCAGAGCAAAATTCTCATTCCGATGGGAGTGAAGAGCAAACAGTGAAGGAGCACCCACTACAGCAAAAACGACACTTCAGTAAGTGTATGAACCCAGTGAAACGAGGCAGCCAGAATGGGCACGTTTACAGACAGAAAGGCGAACAGAGGTGACCAGGGGCTGGGGGAGGCAGGAATGGGAAGTTAGTGTTCAGTGGGCACAGGAACTTTCGTTTGGGAGGAGGAAAACTTCCAGAAAGGGAGAATGTAGGTGGCAGCACAATATTGTGAATGTACTTAATGCCACTGAGCTCTACCTGAAGCATAATTAAAATGGTAATGTTTCTGTAATGTAGACATTACCACAATCAACAAACCAAAAGAAAAAAAATCACAAGAACGAATTACACCCAAGTTCATCAGTCTGGAAGCGGGGCCCTCACACCCCTGAGTCGATCATTATCTATGGGCCAGGCTGCGGGGGGCCAGGCTGCAGGGGCCTCAGCTCCCAGTCACTTCCTGTTCTTGTGCAGTGAAGTGGCCGCAGGAGCTCAAGGACAGTGCTCAGGGGAACTGCAGTGGGAAGGAGCCCCTTCCTCTGGCCGGGCTGCTCTCCGGATGAAAAAAGTCCTGGCAGAGGCACAGAAGAGGCAAAGGCCCTGAGGCAGGCACATGCCCAGCATTTTCCAGGAAGCAAGGAGACCAATGTGTGCGGCTGGAGCAGAGAGAGCTGGGTGCTCTGAGTAAGGGACAAGGGCAGAGAGGAAGGGAGGCAGGCGGGCAGCTGAGCAAGGCTCTCGAGGCTACTGGGACTATGGCTTTTATTTTCATTATTTTTCTGTATTGATTTTAGGGAGAGGGAGAGAGAGAGAAACATCGATGAGAGAGAACATCAATTGGCCGCCTCCTGCAGGCCCCTCCACTGGGGATCTGGCCTACAACCTGGGCGTGTGCCCTGACCGGGAATCCAACCAGCGACCTGTTGGTGCATGGGTTGAGGCTCAGCCACTGAGCCCCACCAGCCGGTCCAGGACTTCAGCTTTTGCTCTGAGTGACAAGGGGAGCCAGGAGAAGGGTGTGAGCTCAGGAATGACTTGGAGCTACTTGTGCACAAGTAAAATGTGCGCATCTTCCAGGGTTGGAGAGGCTATAAAACCTCCCTGGGCCCTGGCCGGTTTGGCTCAGTGGTTGGAGCCTCCGCCTGCGGACCAGAGAGTCCCTGGTTCGGTTCCCACTAGGGGCATGTACCAAAAAAACAAAACTAACAAAAAAAACAACCCTCCTTCGGATTCTCAAAGGCGGCTAGCAAACCCCCACAAGACTAAGAACCCATGTGACGTTGGTTTTTCCCTTCAAATTTTGCCGCTTCGACTTTGCATCTCGGCAGAAGCCCCTCTAATGCTTCCCTGCGTTGTATTTGCTCTGGGAACCCCGGACCAGAGAGGGGTGGGGATGGAAAGGGCAGTAATATCCCGGGGGGAGGGGGGCACGCCGTGACACTCGCTCAGCACACCTCTGGCCACCAGGCTGGTGCATCAGCACAGGCCCGAAGACTCCCTTCCCGGGACGCGGAGGCCCTGCACCGCTCCCCACGCCGAGCCCAGTGAGCTCCTCGGGAAGGGGCGGGCACTGCCCGCGGGCTTTGCTGTAGCCCTGCGTTGCCATAGCGACCCTGGCCGGGCCTGGACGCCAGCGCGCGCGCTCTGGGCAGCGCTTGAGGCTGGAGACTGTGACCTTTACGTTGCCGCCGGGCGACTGGATCCAGGCTCTGGCCGGCAGGTGAGCGCAGGCGACAGGACGCAGGTGGCACCGGGCGGGGTCTCGGGACAGTCTCCTACCCCTCCAGGCCCAGCCCCTCCGCCTTCCTTTGTGGTGATTCTTGTTATTCAGTATCCAAACAGCCCAGGCAGAGTCCACGCACCGCGTTGCTAGGTTTTCTTTCCCTGTCAGTAGCTCATGTATTCAGTCCTCAACCTCCTGGAATAAAACCTACGTTCCCGAAAGTGTGGGACAGAGGATGAGTTTATATTACACTGATGAGGCTTTAAGTAACCCCCCACGCCGTGACATCATAAAAAAGTCATTAGATTCCAGGTTCTCTTACAATGCTGAGTAAAACCAAAGATAAAGTGTCAGTTTGGGGCCAATATGGCATTAGCACCTTTTCGAACACTTGCTAATCTCAATCTAGTTAAGATTTAAATTGATTTCCTTTCAGTATTTTTTTTTTATCCTCACCCGAGGACATTTTTCCATTTTTTATTCAGATAGAGCTGGAAGGAGAGAGAGGAAGAGAGAGAAACATCGATGTGAAAGGGACACATCAAGTGGCTGCCACCCACACAACCCAACCAGGGCCAGGGACAAACTGCAGCCAAGGTACATGCCCTTAGTGGGAACCGAACCCAGGTCTCTGTGGACCACAGGCTGACGCTCTACCGCTGAGCCAAACTGGCCAGGGCTCAGTATTTTTATTTTTACAATTAACTTCCCCTTCGGGTACCTGACACTGGTTTTCCACTTATAATAATGCTATGTAAAGTTTCTTTCTTTGGTAAATGTATTGATTTTTATATTTTTAATTTTGTTTTCTTTATTGATTTTAGAGAGAGAGGAAGGAAGAGGGAGAGAGAAACATCGATGAGAGACAACATCGATTGGCTGTCTCCTGCATGCTCCCCACTGGGGTTCAGGCCCACAACCTGGGCATGTGCCCTGACTGGGAATCAAACTGGTGACCTCTTGGTGTGTGGGTGGACAGACACTGAGCCCATCAGCCAGGCAATGTATTGATTTTTAAAAGGGAATTCATTTAAATATCGAGATTCAGCACAGTACAGGTGGTACTTGTAAATGGCAGGGAAACAAAAAACCCTAAGTTTGGACCTGAGACTGTCCCCCTCCACCCCTGCCTTGGCAGCTTTTGCCCTTGCTGTTTTCGTTGTTTGGAGCGACTTTCCCTATTTCTAGGCACAACTGTCAACATCTGTACCAGCCAGCAGGGTCGGTAGGCCTGATCAGACCCCTGCTGTAGTCCAAGAGAAGGAACTCCTAGATGGATGATCCCAGTCCAAAGGAAAATGCTCAGAAACTATAAGAATTTGAAATAGTGACAGTAGAGAAGTAAACCAAGCACGGGCCCTTCTAAGGACAGGGCCCTTAGGCTGCATACCCATGACACTGGTCCTGGGTGGGTGGATGCCCGGGACACCATGATCTACTGGAATCTGTTCAGCCCTGAGGTCATTCTGATTGTCTGATTGGTCAATAACCCTGCATGCTGATGGTCAAATACTTCAACTAGCCTCTGCTGCTAGCATTGTGTGTGTGTTGGGGGGGGGGGGGCATGTATTCCCCAAGTCCATGGAACAGGATAGGTGGTATTTGCTGAGGGGGAACAGGGATTCCCAGCTTTGGAAGGGACCATTTTTATCACCTTGCACAAGCCCCATGGAGACAGACAGATGGACATGAATGTCTGCACTGGAGAGCCGGAGGACATGAAGAGCACAGATAGGGGGCTCCCAGACTGGGGAGAAGCCCTAGACCACCCAAAGTGTCTCTGCAACCCCACCAGGCAGGGCAGGGAGGAGAGTTGGGTCTGATAAAAAAAAAAACCTAGCTAGGTGATGAGGCAGACAGGTAGAGCACCAAGGCAGAGGTCAGAGGTCAGGTGTAGAAGGGTGACTGACCATCTTGCTGTGCCTGGACCGTCCCAGTTTTAGCACTGAAAGTCCAAGGCCCTAGGAAACCTCTCTGTCCCCGGCACATGGGGACAGTTGGTCACCCTAGAAGCAGTATCTTCAGTTGGTGGGCTCTGCTGACACCTTGCAAAGCCTGCAGAGCCAGCTCAGGTGCTTTCCACCATCCTGTCCACCAGACAGACGATGCAAGACCAAGGCGTTGCAGGGCGGGTGCCGGGCCAGTGCGTGTGTAAGGGGATGTCCTTGGGAGCTGTGCCATAGCAGCTGCCTGCCAGCCCAGAGAGACAGAGCTACCCCGACCTCCCACTCCCCTGGAATGGATCCCAGTGCTCACCACGAGGAGGCGGGGCTCCAGGCCAGCATCCTCTCTGATAGGTCATACTGGTTATCAAATCTGTGACCATCACCTCCTGCTCAAGGACAGCTTCTTCCTGATGCCATCACAAACCCAGCTGCTCTGTTGGTTTCCCTGGGCTCCCAAGTAATTGTGCCATCAGAACCCTCCCCCTCCTCATAAGGGGGCCCCTGGAGAAGCAAGGCAGGAGACAGCCAAGGGCCAGTCCAGCACAAAAGCAACTCCTCCAAGGACGGCTCATCTGCCCCAGGGACACAGAACACACATGACTCATCCCACCTGAACTCAGACAGTGCCTCTCCAGGAAGTTCGAGAACCCTGGCATAATGCAGGGCACACTGAGCTCCCGATGTCCCTGACCTTTTGCCAGCACCCCCTGGCCCTGCAGAAGCAGCCAACATGCCCATCTCTAAGTGCCCACAAAAGTCAGAGGCCCTATGGAAGGTGTGGGACCAAAAGGCCCAGAAGAATGGACTGAAACACCAGGTGTATGCTGTCAATGGTGACCATTACGTGGGTGAATGGAAGGACAACATGAAACATGGTGAGTGGGGGACCCTCGGGCTCGGGTGGCAAGTGCGGGGTCTGGGCCGAGGAAACGGTGTACAGAGCTCACTGGGGCGTAAGATGTGTCCCTGAGGCCCCTCCACGGGGTGAATGCTGACCTAGACCAGCAAGAGGCCTCCACCTGCTGGAGCTCTGGGTAGGAGCCCAGCCCTGACTTCAGCTGAGAGCAAGTCCCAGGGACCAGCAGGGCACAAAGCAGTCTTGAGACACCAGCCCCAGCCACCACTGGGGCTCGGGACACCAGCTCTGTCCCTACCTTCTGACCCCTGGGCTCAGCATGGAGCTGGGTAGCAAGAGGAAAAGGCAGACCCCAGAAACCAGCTTGCAAATGCGATTCTGATCTTCAGGCTCAGCCCTGAACTGGGTTCTGACCAACAGCTGGTGAAGGAGGAGGGTCCGGCCCTCAAGTGGCTGGGCTCAGACTTTAACTGGATTGGGTTCGGTCTAACCAGCAGGGGGCACAGGGGTTCTTGTGATACAAATGAAGACGGGAAGGGAAAAAAAAGTTTTCATTTTAATTTTTTTGGTCTTGTAAAAACTCACCGGAGGATATTTTTTCCTTTGCTTTTTAGAGAGAGTAGAAGGGAGGGAGGGAGATGGGGGAGGTGAGAGAGAAACATAGATTCCAGAAAGACACATCAATTAGTTGCCTCCTGTACATGCCCTGAATGACCAGGGCCTGGAATTGAACCTGCAACCCAGGTATGTGCCCTTAACTGGGAACTGAGCCCAAAACCCTTTGGTCCGTGGGCCATCGCTCTAACCACTGAGCCACACTGGCCAAGGAAAAGTTTTCCTTTTAAAAAGGTGGCATGACTTTTCACTCTAGTCTCGCACCTCTACATTCTTAACCACTCTCCTCTTCTACTCCCCTACACCGAGAGCTGTGAAATCCATAAACCTGGGTGAGAATCTTAGCCCCACAACCATGGACCGGGAGTGATCACTACACCATTCTGGGCCTCAGTTCCCCCATCTATAAAACAGGAATAGTACCTATCTGTACAGATGAGAGATGACATCTATCAAGTGTGTAGCCCAGGGTCTGTGCAGAAGGAGAACTTCTAGAATGTTCTCTGAAGGCTGAGCATGGCAGGAATGCTACTCAGAACCTTTCTTGGCCAAGAAGCCCTCCAAAGCTGCCCCCAGCCAGTGTGTAACACCCACCCACCCTCAGCACTGACTTGAAGCCAGGCTTTCTGTGGCTGCTCGGAGCTCTGTGTGGTTTAAGAAGCCTGCATGTACGCTGCAGGCCTTATGGGCAGAATGTGGTGTGGACAGAGCCCTGGACTAGGAGACAGGGCCCGGAAGCTCTCAGCCTGGCTCTACCAGTGGCTGCATGACTTTGGGTAAGTCATTTCCTATTCTCTGGATCTGGGCTGCCCCACCATGTGGGCTGTTCTGGTCTTCTGAGCCTTTCTACTTTGTAAGTCCTGCCTCCCCTCAGAGCCTGGAGGCATAGAACTAATGGGGCTGAGGCTGCAGAAAGAGAATCCAGGCCCAGTCCCCCACCCCCTTCCAGACATACCTTTTGACCAAGCTGAAGTGAGTTGCTGTGATGTATATGCAGATTAAAAGAGGTTTAATAAAAATAAATAAATAAATAAATAAATAAATAAAAATAATGCCCTGGCTGGTTTTGCTCAGTGATTAGAGCATCAGCCTGCAGTCCAGAGAGACCCGGGTTCGGTTCCCACTAAGGGCACGTACCTCGGTTGCAGTTTGTCCCCGACCCGGGTTCGGTTCCCACTAAGGGCACGTACCTCGGTTGCAGTTTGTCCCTGGCCCTGGTGGGAGGCAGCCACTCGATGTGTCCCTTTCACGTCGATGTTTTTTTTTCTCTCTCTCTCTCCCTCTCCCACTCCATCTGAACAAAAAATGGAGGAATGTCCTCGGGTGAGGATAAAAAAAAAACCCTGACCAATTTGGTTCAGCGGTTGAGCATCTGCCTGCGGACCAGAGAGTCCCGGGTTCGGTTCCTGCTAGGGGCAAGTATCCATGCAAGGCAAGGCCGGGGTGGCCCTGGGGTTCCCCAGAGTCTCATTCATTCGCTTCGCCAACACTTATTGCACTCCTGGTCCATGCCAGGCCCTCTACTAGGCATCTGCCATAATCCCAACCACAGGGAGCTACCAGACTACAGAGAACTTGCACAACAGATAATATCTCATTTTACAGATGAGGAAACTGGGGCTCAGAGAGAGGAAGTGACTTACTCAAGGCCACACAGCTGAAAGTGAAGGGGATCAGAGAGAGGACATGAAAGGGGCCATGAGAGAGAACACAGTCAGAGAGGTGATGTTTGAGCTGAGCCCAGATCAGAATGCTTAGCCAGGCAGTGGGGCATGTTTTCTAGATAATGGAATCAGAATGCGGGATGCTTTGGGGTGTTAAACCTTGTTCAAAGAGCAGACTGATGGCACTGGCCAGTTTGGCTCAGCGGTTAGAGCGTCAGCCTGCGGGCCAGAAGTCGTGGGTTCGATTCCGGCCAGAGGTCGGGGCCCTGCGGGAGGCAACCAATCAATGTGTTTCTCTCCCACTGATGTTTCTCTCTCTCTCTCCCTCCCTCCCTTCCACTCTATCTAAAGATAAATGGAAAAGTATCCTCGGATGAGGATTAAAAAAAAAACACAAAAAACAGACTGACAGCCAGTGCAGCAGAGAACGAGGAGAGCCAACAGCACAGGGCCTCACAGGCCATGCATCCTAAGTTTTGCCCGTATCCTGCAGGCACACAGTCTCATTGGATCAACTAGGATCACATGCCCTTCACTGAACCAATCACAGTGGCCCAGTCGGTGATTGGCTGGTCTTGCCAGGAGGCAGAATCAGCCCCAGGCCAACCTCAATGATTCAGTGACAGAGGGCAGAGGAAATAAAACTAGGACAGGTACAAAGAACTTGATGTCTCCTACAAGGTGACGGCCCTACCTCAAGGGCAAAAATAATTGATATCATCTTTCCTATTTGCTGGCACTGTTCTAAATGTCCTATATATATGTATTAATGAATTTAGTGATCGAACTGACTCCATGAAGTATTCTTGTCCCCATTTTAAAGATGAAGAAACTGAGACCCGGAGAGTTAAGTTACTTGCCTGAGACCAAAAAGCTCACAGGGAAAATGTTGCATTTGATCCTAGCTACCAAGGACCAAACCATGACTGACCCATACAGTACTCCACAAATATCTTATTCATCCCTTTGTTCAACATATATCTTTGTTTAACAAACATTGGTCATCTACAACATGTTTTTTGTTGCTGGGACTAGATTACTGAACAAAGCAGACCAAAGTGTGTGCCCTCATGGAGAGCATATTCTCCTGGAAGACACAGACAGTAGACAATAAACAATAAATAAGTGAATTATCTATTATGTTAGGAGTTGACAAGTGATATGGAAAGAAACAGAGCAGGGTAAGGGTGTAGAAGAGGCTTGTAATTTTATTTATTTATTTTCATCTTCACCCAAGGATATTTTTTCTATTTATCTTTAGATAGAGTAGAGGGGAGGAAGAGAGAGAGAGAGAGACAGAGAGGGAAAGGAAGAGAGAGACGGAGAGGGAGAGGGAAACATTGATGTGAGAGGGACACATCAACTGGTCGCCTCCTGCAGGACCCCAACCAGGGCTGGGGACTAACCGCAACTGAGGTACGTGCCCTTGACCAGAATCAAACCCGTGACTCTTTGGTCTGCGGGCCGACACTCTAACCACTGAGCAAAACCGGCCAGGGCTTGGCTTATAATTTTATTTTTATTTTTTTTTATCCTCACCCGAGGACATTTTTCCATTTTTTGTACAGATAGAGTGGGAGGGAGAGAGAGGAAGAGACAGAGAGAGAGAAACATCGACGTGAAGGGACACATCGAGTGGCTGCCACCCGCACGACCAACCAGGGCCGGGGACAAACTGCAACCGAAGTACGTGCCCTTAGCGGGAACCGAACCCGGGTCTCTCCGGACCGCAGGCCGATGCTCTAACCGCTGAGCCAAACCGCCCAGGGCTTGGCTTGTAATTTTAAATGGGACAGTCAGGATAGGCCTTGTTGAGAAAATGAGATTTGAGCAAAGACTTGCAGGGGGTGGGGAGTGAGTGAGTATTTGAGGAAGAGTGTTCCAGGCCAAGGAACAAGTAGGTGCAAAGGTCCTGAGGCAGGAAAATACCTTGTGGGTTCCAAGAACATCACGGAGGCCATAGTGGTTGGAGGGCAGTCTGAAAGGTGGGAGTGGAGGACACAGAAGGGGTTGGAGTGGTAGGAGATGGTTCTCCATGTGTATTCAGGAGAACTAGTGAAATATACAGAACATTTTCTAGTAACTGTCCACAAAAAGAACCCCAAACCTAAAGAAAGGTTTAAAGAGTGTATTTATTTATTTATTTTTTAAGTGAGGTATGACTGCTGTCATTTTCTATGCCTGGTCCTAAAATGCTTTCAATCCAACCGTGGGCAGCATTTAGGATTGAAGCCCCCATACTTCCTGCTTCCTTCCGTGTCTCCAGGAGATCAAGGGAGAAGTCCCAATTAAAAAAAAAAAATTTTTTTTTCTTTATTGATTTTTATTTTATTTATTTATTTTTCTTTATTGATTTCAGAGAGAAAGGGAGAGAGAAATAAAAACATCAATGAGAGAGAACATTGATTGGCTGCCCCCTGCCTGCCCCCAACTGAGGATTTGGCCCACAACCTGGGCATGTGCCCTGACCAGGAATCAAACCAGTGACCTCTTGGTGCATGGGTTGATGCTCAACCACTGAGCCACACCAGCCAGGCTAAAGAGTTTATTATAAGCCAAGGTTCTTAAAAAAATATATGTTTTTTATTTATTTTAGAGAGAGAGACAGAGAGAAACATCAATTGGATGCCTCCTGACCAAGGATTGAATCTGAAACCCGGGTATGTGCCTTGACTGGTAATCGAACTGGTGACCTTTCAGAGCATAAAACAATGCTCAATCAACTGAGCCACACTGGCCAGGGTGAGCCAAGGGGTATTAAGAGTAGTTCTGGCCCTGGCCGGTTTGGCTCAGTGGTTATAGCATCGGCCTGCAGTCCAGAGAGACCGGGTTGCAGTTTGTCCCCGGCCCTGGTTGGTCGTGCGGGTGGCAGCCACTCAGTGTGTCCCTTTCACGTCGATGTTTCTCTCTCCCTCCCACTCTATCTGAACAAAAAAGGTGGAAAAATGTCCTCGGGTAAGTATAAAAACAGTAAATAAATAAGAGTAGTCCTGGAAGCAAAAGCTCAAGGGATTGAGATAACGCTCCTGAGAAGGGCAGTTTTGCAGCTTATTTTATGTTAGAATCAAAGGGAAAGACATAAGGCAGGTGCGGGAAATCCACTGGTGGCAGATTAAGGAGGTGGGAGAAATCAAAGCAAAGAAATCTCTAGGATCTGGATAAAAGTAAAATAGAGCTTGGCCAGTGTGGCTCAGCGGATTGAGCACTGTCCCATGGACTGAGACATCCGGTTCGATTCTGAGTCAGGGCACATGCCCGGGTTGCAGGCTAGATTCCCAGTAGGGGACGGGCAGGAGGCAGCCAATCAATGATCGATATTCTTCTCTCACTTGGATGTTTCTATCGCTCTCTGAAAAATCAATAAAACATATTTACATATAAAAGTAAAACAGGGAGATACATACTTTTTTACTTTGGTGGGTGCAGAATATTAACATTTCACACACACAGTTTACAGAGGTATGCGGGTGAAGATAATGTTGGAATGTGGGAGTTGCCTTGTCCCATACCGGGGTCTAGAGAAGAGATCATTTTGACATTTTAGGTGTGTCTGTCTAGATGCACAAACACAATGGCCAGGGCTTGTTCAGGTTAGAGGTTTTTCTATCCCATAGGCCTTAAGACGCGACTTCCCACCGCAACTCACTCAGTTATGATTTTTTTTTTTTTTTTTTTTTTTTTTTTTAATCCTCACCCGAGGATATTTTTCCATTTTTTGTACAGATAGAGTGGGAGGGAGAGAGGGGAAGGGGGAGAGAGAGAGAAACATCGACGTGAAGGGACACATCGAGTGGCTGCCACCCGCACGACCAACCAGGGCCGGGGACAAACTGCAACCGAAGTACGTGCCCTTAGCGGGAACCGAACCCGGGTCTCTCCGGACCGCAGGCCGACGCTCTAACCGCTGAGCCAAACTGGCCAGGGCAACTCACTCAGTTATGATTTTTTTTATATGATCGAAACATCCCTTGAGGTTACTTTTAGTTACTGAGCTTGTCAGGTTTGCCCAAGGTCGTCCCTTTTTGTTCACAGAACCCTGGCCATCTGGCATATCCATCCATATTATTAAGGGATGAAACTGGAAAGCTGGAGGGGCCAGTTTCTACTTGGGGTTCGCTGTCAGTCTGGCCTCAAGGCAAAGGGCTGGGGAACCACTATTTGTACACCGCCAGTTGTACACATGGAACTCTCGGGGTTTTCCTGGGCGTTGGGGTCTAGAGATGAGGCACAGACCCTGTCCCAGTCCTCCAGAATCACCAAGTCTAGGGGCCCCGGAGGCCCAGGCAGGCCCAGCAGCTGCGCCCAGCCCCCGGTGGCCATGTCTGCAGTGTTGGCCCATCTGTGTGTCACCAGGAAAAGGAAGGCAGATCTGGAAGAAGAAAGGGGCCATCTATGAGGGAGACTGGAAGTTGGGGAAGCGAGATGGCTATGGTACCCTCAGTCTTCTTGACCAAGAGACTGGAAAGCATAGGAGAGTCTATTCTGGCTGGTGGAAAGGTGATAAGAAATCGGTGAGTGGTTCCCATCATGGCCTGGGGCCTGAACCAGGCTGAAAGCGAGTGTGTGTGTGTGTGTGTGTGTGTGTGTGCACGCGCGCGCGCGCGCGCGCGCGGGCGCGTAGGGGGAGGAGTCAGGCCTGGGAGAAAACGAGGGTGGATTTGAAGGGAGAACAGGGGTTCTGTGTGAGTAGGAGAAGGAAGGGGTGGGGGAATCATCAAGTCTTCTTAGAACAAAACCCAGGAAACAGGAAGCAGAGGAGAGGGCCCAGGCAGGAGCCTGTGAAACCCTGTGGCTACAAGAAGGCAGCCAGGCTGTGGGATTGGGGGTGGGGGGAAGTCTCCTCCCCTTTCTCCCCCACTCATTTCCTGGCTTTCTTTCCCCTGGGCAGTGCTTTCTGAGAATTCCTCTTCTGTTGGGCCTGGATAAGAGGGTAGGAAGAGTGGGAACCAGAAAGCTGAGGCTACACCCTTAGCCACCTGACCAGAGAGGAAAGTCCCAGGTCCCAGGGGTAGAAGTCAGCTAGGGGCATGTCCTCACCCATGAACACCCAAACCCTCACCACAGGCCATGGAAACATAAAAATATAGTATTGCTATTGAACAATGCCTACTGCAATCCTGGGATATGATATAGTACTAACTCTCACATCACCACCACCACCACCATCACCACCGCCATCCCCATGATGAGGAAATACGCTCAGAGGTGAAGTGCTTGCTTGGGGTCACACTGCTGGCGAGTGGTAGAGGCCAGAATTTCATGATCTCTGCTCTCAACTTATTTATTTATTGGTCAATGGGGAAAGAGGCCCCAAAATAAACAATTTACGTATTATACGGTGTTAGGATAGAGGTGGGCACAGGGAGCCCAGAGGAAGATCATTGAGCATTCAAGGCAGGCTTCCTGTAGGAGGTGATGCCCCACATGCTAAGAGTTAACCGGGGAGAAAAAAAAGAAGAAGGGGAAGTAGCAAAGGAGGCAGAAGTAACAAAGGGAAGGATATGTCAGCAAGGTGTGTGTGCCCACAGGGGTAGGGGTAAGGGGGGGGGGTAGGTGTGGGCCTTGATGTGTTGGTGGGGAATCGGGATTTGCAGGGTAGACCTGAGTTGCTTAACCCAACCTCCTGAGGTATGATCTGCAGGGAGTCCATGATTCTCTGTGGCTGGATGCTAAGTATGGTGATGACCTTCATGTTTCTGGGGAGAAAGTCCATAGCTTTGATCTCTCAGAGGCACCTGTGATTTTTAATAGGGTCAAATCAGAGTTGGGGCAAAGATAATCAGGTGATGTAAAAAGATCCTTCTAGTTGCTGTATGTTGGGTGCGTGAGGACGGAGAGTATGGAGAGTGGAGGAAAGGGAGAGGGGGAGGGGGAGAAATGAAGGTGAGCTCAAGAGGCGGTAGCAGGGGGACGCAGGGAAACGGACCCCCGGAGCGATTCTGCAATACACCACGTAGGACTGCGAGAGGAAGCGAGGAAGAAGCCCAGATGTGTGGCTTGGGTGCCAAGGAGGGTGCTGGGGCTTCCCTAATGGTGGTGGGCACCATAATCAGGGACACCTTCATCCTTCCAGGGCTACGGGATCCAGTTTTTCGGACCCAAAGAGTATTACGAAGGTGAGTGGTGTGGCAACCAGCGCAACGGGTGGGGCCGCATGTACTACAGCAATGGTGACATCTTCGAGGGCCAATGGCGGAACGACAAGCCAGAAGGGGAGGGCATGTTGCGCCTGAGTGAGTACCCGGCCCCACCCGGCCTGCTGGCCACGCCCAATGGCCCCACCTCCGACCTGCTGGCCACGCCCGCCTGGCCCTCGCCCTCAGGGCTGTACTTCTCTAGTCCCTGCTTGACCTAGTCCCCAGCAGGACACACCTGGGCAAAGCCCAGCTCCGGTGTGGGTTAAGGTGCGTGACAGGACCAGATCCTTGCCCTCAGGGAGCTTATACTCTAAAAGGAGAGTCTAACAATAAACATGAACAATTGAGGCCTTTTCTTATGGTCATTAGAATCATAGCTACACTTCTACAGTCCTGAACTCATTTAATCCTCAGTGCAATCCCAGAACATGGTACTCTCATCCCCACTCTACAAATGAACGAAGGCACAGAGAGGTTTAGTTACTTGATCAAGGTCACACAGTCTGTAAGTTGTGACATCAAAATGTGCTAAGGAATTCCCCTTAAAAATAGAAAGGTGTACCAACTGGCTGGTGTGGCTCAGTGGTTGGGCATCAACCCATGCACCAAGAGGTCACCAGTTCGATTCCCGGTCAGGGCACATGCCCAGGTTGTGGGCCTGATCCCCAGTGGGGGGCATGCAGGAGGCAGCTGATGGATGTTCTCTCTCACATCGATGTTTCTCTCTCTCTCTCTCCCTTCCTCTCTCTCTAAATATAAATACATAAATAAATAAAACATACCTAGGGTTATTGTGAAGGTTAAATGAGATTTATATATATATATATTTTTGTTGTTGTTGTTTTGTTTTGGTATGTGCCCCTAGTAGGAACCAAACCCAGGACTCTCTGGTCTGCAGGCTGATGCTCAAACCGTTGAGTCAAACCGGCCAGGGAGAGATTTATATATTTTTTATAACTATTTATTTTGTATCGATTTTTAATTTTTTTTTTCCTTTATTGATTTTTAGAGAGGAGGTGAGAAGGAGAGAGAGATAGAAACATTGATGAGCCCTGGCCGGTTTGGCTCAGTGGTTAGAGCGTCGGCCTGCGGTCCCGAGAGACCCAGGTTCGGTTCCCGCTAAGGGCATGTACCTCGGTTGCAGTTTGTCCCCGGCCCTGGTTGGGCTGTGCGGGTGGCAGCCACTCGATGTGTCCCTTTCACGTCGATGTTTCTCTCTCTCTCTCTCTCCCTCCCACTCTATCTGAACAAAATATGGAAAAATGTCCTCGGGTGAGGATAAAAAAAAAAAAAGAGCCCTGGCTGGTTTGGCTCAGCGGTTAGAGCATCGGCCTGCGGTCCAGAGAGACCCGGGTTCGGTTCCCGCTAAGGGCACGTTCCTCGGTTGCAGTTTGTCCCCGGCCCTGGTTGGTCGTGCGGGTGGCAGCCACTCGATGTGTCGCTTTCACGTCGATGTTTCTCTCTCTCTCTCTGTTCCTCTCTTTCCCTCCCATTCTACCTGAACAAAAAATGGAAAAATGTCCTCAGGTGAGGATAAAAACAAAACAAAAAAAAAAGAAACATTGATGAGAGAGAACATCGACTGGCCGCCTCCTGCATACTCCCACTGGGGATCGGGCCCACAACCTGGGCATGTCCTGACCAGGAATGGAACTGGCAATCTGTTGGTGCATGGGTCGATGTTCAACTAGTGAGCCACACCAGCCAAACAGAGGTTTATATTTGTTAATGGTGGCTGACACTAATAGTAAGTTTAATGATATTACCAGCTCATACTTGTGTGTAGCAGGGGTCAGCAAACCATGGCCCTTGGGCCAAATCCAGCCCAACACATGTTTTTGTAAATAAAGTTTTATTGGCACACAGACATGCTCATTCGATTATGTATTGTCCCTGGCTGCTTTTGTGCTACAATGTATGGACTAATTTAATTTTCACAACAATTCTGTGAGGGAGATGCTATTTTTATTCCTGTTTTACAAAAGAGATGAGACAGCCCTGGCCGGTTTGGCTCAGCAGTTAGAGCGTCGGCCTGCGGTCCTGAGAGACCCGGGTTCGGTTCCCGCTAAGGGCGCGTACCTCGGTTGCAGTTTGTCCCCGGCCCTGGTCGGTTGTGCGGGTGGCAGCCACTCGATGTGTCCCTCTCACGTCGATGTTTCTCTCTCTCTCTCTCTCCCACTCTACCTGAACAAAGAATGGAAGAATGTCCTCGGGTGAGGATAAAAAAAAAAAAAATTAAAAAAAAATAAATAAGTAAACAAAAGAGATGAGACAAAATGGTTATGTGACTTGCCCAAGGTCACAAAACTAGTAAGTGTCTGAGGTTTATTATTATTATTTTTTTTATCCTCACCCAGGGACATTTTTTTTTTTGCATTTATCTTCAGATAGAGCGGGAGGGAGAGAGGGAGGAAGAGAAAGAAAGAAACATCAACATGAGAGAGACACATCGAGTGGTTGCCACCCGCATGACCCCAACCGGGGCTGGGGACAAACTGCAACCGAGGCACACGCCCTTAGCAGGAACCAAACCCGGGTCTCTCTGGTCCGCGGGCCGACGCTCTAACCGCTGAGCCCAACCAGCCAGGGCGGTTTATTATTATTTTTACACCGCCACCATCAGATAAGTTGAACTGACTCCTGATTAAGAACATGGGCTCCTGGGATGAACAGGCCTTGGTTTCAAGTTGTGCCTCTGTCCCTTCCTAGTTCTGTGACCTTGAGCAAGTCAATCAAACTCCTTGGGCTTTGCAGTCTCCACCTGTAAAACAGTGTCCTTCATCCTTCCTAGAATCGTGTTTGTGAGTGAGGTCAGAAACATGCTTGGAGCCAGGCACAAAGGAAGTGCTGAAAAACATGGCAATGCATATTATTAGCTATATTCTTTTACAAATAGGAAACCATGTGGCTCATCCAAGTTCAAGTAAGTAGTGGAGGCAACACGTGAAACAGGGTCTGATTCTGGAAGCCACTGGCACCCCAGGGCTCTGATGTTTGTAGGTTAGTTTCCCAGACCCCATTCCACTGACCAGCCCAGCACTCTAATCAACCTAACTTCCTTCTGGCTTCCCGGTGGGCCTGGCGTCTAGCCTGGGAGTGGCAGAGGGCCAGCTGGGCATGGGGGGGCCAGGCTCGTGCACTGGCCTGGTGTGCTGTGCCCAGCACCCACACTTCCCTGTCCTTTCTCCCAGAGAATGGGAACCGCTATGAGGGCTACTGGCAGCGAGGCTTGAAGAACGGGTCCGGGCGTTTCTTCCACCTGGACCACGGTCAGCTATTTGAAGGCTTCTGGGTGGACGACATAGCCAAGTGTGGCACAATGATCGACTTTGGCCGCGATGAGGCCCCTGAGCCCACCCGGTTTCCCATTCCTGAGGTGGGCAGCTCTCGCCAGGCCCTGTGACCACACCCAGAAAGGGACAGAAAACAGCAGCCCCCCCAGCCACACCCAGCCTGGCCTGACCCAGCCCAGTCCAACCAGGGAACAGACAAGGTTTTGTTTTCAGGCAGGCAGCACCCCACAAGGCTGGCAGCATCCTTAAAAGCAGGCAGCACCCCCAAAAGCAGGCGACAGCTCATAAAACTGGTAGCCTGGGACTTCTGTAGTCCTCAAACCCACCCTGCTGCTCCCCCGCCAGGTCAAAATTCTAGACCCTGATGGCATACTGGAGGAAGCCTTGGCCATGTTCAAGAAGAAAGAGGAACAAGAAGACTGATACCAGGTGAGGAGGTGGGCACACCTGTCACCTTCTCTGTGGGCGAGGCAGCTCCTGGGGTTTGCTTTGGTGGAGGGGGGTAGGGACCAGAGAGAGCGTGTTTCCTGCCTCCTGCAAACCTGCTGGTCCTTTCTGGTTCCTCCCCTTCAAAACGCATTGCCCTGAAGACCAGTTCATTCCAGTCTGGCCCAAATCCTCCCATTTGTACCCTGTGCTTACTGGGAGGAGCGCTGCTTGGAGACAAGTGACTGGCTCACCCCCAAATGCCTGTAAGGTGGTCTGCCCCATGCTGCCACTGGGACATCTGTCCGGTGGTCTCATGCGGTCCTAGCCCCTCCTGCGTGGGTATAGAGAGACACAGCTCCCAGCATCCCTTCACCCCTGCAGACTACCAGAACTTCAGGAGAAAGTCAAGCCCACGTCATCAACTGCTCAGACCGGTGCAGCTCCCACTGGAGGCGTGAGTGGTGACTCTGGGCACACCCTTGGCACCTCATCCTCCCAACACTGGATCATTCTTTGCCAGTAGGGGCCAATGCTTCTCTCCCCAGCTGGCCTTGGGGACCCTCGTGACAGCCTTTATTCCATGACCCTATCCCTGAGTGCCGGAGAGCAAAGGAAAAACCTGGTAGCATCAGCCTGGGGCCTATGGTGTGAGGTTTGGGGAGTGGGGGAGCCACAGAAGGAATTTCATGTAGAGAAGAGGGAAGAGGGCTCTCTGGCCTGCACGGATTGGCCCTGGGGGAGGGAGAAGACGAGGTGTCTCCAGGCCTTTGAGCTGAGATACTCCAGAGAGGAGAAAGCCTGAATCCGGTCACTAAGATGTGAGGTTCAACTTGACCTGGCTCTCAACTTTGGAATCCCATGGGAACTTTCAAAGCTACAGACGCCCGGGTTCCACGCCCAGCCTCTCATCCGTCTGGGAGTGAGACCTGGGCTTTCAAAAGCTTCCCCAGATGACTTCACTGTACAGCTGGGGCCAAGAACCCCGACTTACTGGATTTGTGACCCGAAGCAAGTGATCTCCGTGCCTCATCTGCAAAATGGGACCTAAGAGATCTCACAGGGGTACTGTGAAGATTTGCGACCAGATGTGATCATAATGACATGTATTGAGGTTAACTGTGCAGCAGAGATCTGGGAGGGGCTTTGCATGACTCTAATTTAGACAACATTCCTGCGAGATAAGAGGCACTCTTACATAATGAGCAGGAGCATGAGCTCTGCTGTCAGATTGCCTGGGTGTGAAGCCAGCAGGATTTATTAGCTGTGTGCTCTCGGGTACGTCACCCATCTCTCTGTTCTAATATGAGACAATAACAGTACTTACCACCCGGGGTTGTTGTGGTTACTAAGAGGATCAAATAAGGCATCCAGTCTCCTTCCCTGGGAGACCTGGCATGTCCGGAAACATTTTTGGTTGTGACAGCTGACAAGAACGCTACTGGCACTCTATGGGTAGAGGTTAGGGATCCTGCTAAACATGCTCGTGTACACTGTACAAATGATTCCTCAATAGTGTAACCCTAAAACACCATATTGTTCGTAAAGGCCTCACCAACCGCTTGGCACGTAGCGAAGGCTCAATAAACGCTCCCTGACACTGTCTGGTTCTCTCTGCCTCTAAATCATCAACAGGGTGGCCTGGCCCAAGGCATGGGTCTACCCCTCTGACACCAGGAAGCTGGACCTGGCCACGTTGGGACACAGAATTAACAGAGAGATACAGGGCACTCACTCGAGTGCCAGGTCCTGGGCTGACAGCTTTACATGCGGCCTCTCCCATAACCTCTCAACAATCTATAAGGTGTCCTGCTAGTCCTAGTATTAGTGCCATTTTAGAGGAGGAAACTGAGGTCCAGGGAGGTTCACAAGCCACCAAGCTAGAAAGTGATTGTACTTGAACAATGGTCTATCTGCTCTTAAGGTGCAGAACAGTGGCAGTGTGTACAGGCTACCATTTTTCAGAGTAGGGGGTGGATGCTGTTTATGTATAAACTCTCTTTATATGGGAAATAAAGTGAACTGGCAACAATGGTTGTCTCGCCCTGGCTGGTGTGGTTCAGCTGGTTGAGCATTGTCTTATGCACCAAAAAATCACCAGTTCGATTCCTGGTTGCAGTATGTAGGGGAGGCAACTGATCAATGTTTCTCTCTTGCATGGATGTTTCTCTCTCATCAATAAAAACATATTTAAAACAAACTAACAAGACAACCCTTGTCTCTGGGGAAAACCGGAAACCTGGGAACAGGGAAGGGAAACATTTCACTGCGTATCTGGAATCATGTGAATGTATCATCTATTCAAAATATGAGTAACAGAAATTAAAGAGACTTGTTCTTAAGTACAAGTGCCTGGATTTAGGAATACTTGGAGTTAACACAGAATCTGACACACCCTGGGGAGGGGCTTGGGCATCTGCATTTTACAAGCCAATCTGGTGATTCTTGAGTTCAGGCAAGTTTTGGAAAGAAAACCTGACTACAGCCCTGGCCGGTTTGGCTCAGTGGTTAGAGCGTAGGCCTGTGGACCAGAAAGTCCCGGGTTTGGTTTCTGCTAAGGGCACGCACCTACCTAGGTTGCAGTTTGTCCTCGGCCCGGTTGGGGTTGTGTGGGTGGCAACCACTTGATGTGTCTTTCTCACGTTGGATGTTTTTCCCTCTCTCCCTCCTGTTCTGACGATAAATGCAAAGAAGAAAAAAGAAAAAAAAAAAAGAAAGAAAACCTGACTACAGGTCTCTGCAGAAGCAGGGAGGTGGATCTCCTAGACCAGTGGTTCTCAACCTTCCTAATGCCACGACCCTTTATTATTATTTTTTTTTTATCCTCACCCGAGGACATTTTTCCATTTTATTGTTCAGATAGAGTGGGAGAGAGGGAGGGAGAGAGAGAGAGAGAGAGAGAGAGAGAGAGAGAGAGAAACATCGACGTGAAAGGGACACATCGAGTGGCTGCCACCCGCACGACCAACCAGGGTCGGGGACAAACTGCAACCGAGGCATGCGCCCTTAGCGGGAACCGAACCGGGTCTCTCTGGATCGCAGGCTGATGCTCTAACCGCTGAGCCAAACTGGCCAGGGCCCACGACCCTTTATTTATTTATTTATTTATTTATTTATTTATTTATTTATTTATTTTTATTATTATTATTTTTTTAATCCTCATCCGAGGACATTTTTCCATTTTTTGTACAGACAGAGTGGGAGGGAGAGAGAGGAAGAGAGAGAGAGGGAAACATCGATGTGAAGGGACACATCGAGTGGCTGCCACCCGCACGACCAACCAGGGCTGGGGACAAACTGCAACCGAGGTACATGCCCTTAGTGGGAACCGAACCCGGGCCTCTCCGGACCGCAGGCGGACGCTATAACTGCTGAGCCAAACCGGCCAGGGCCCATGACCCTTTAATACAGTTCCTCAGCTGCATGTGGGTGGACCTGCCTGGAGACAGACAGACGGGCGGTGTCTGGGTTCCTAAGACCATCAGAAATACGTGTTTTCCGATGGTCTTAGGCGACCCCTGTGAAAGGGTCGTTCGACCCCCACAGGTTGAGAACAGCTGTTCTAGAGGGATGCATGGAAGAAGGTGCCTCTGTCTTCTTTAGGGAGCAGTGGAAGGTTTCAAACAAGGGCTCCTGCCTCATCCTAATCATCCTACTGGGTCCAGGCCATTCAGGGTGGGTCCTGGTGCACGTGATGCAGGATGAAGGCAAGAATCTGCCATAGGAAACTGGATGACCCCTTTCCCGACTCAGCCCACAAAGCTGCTGCCGGCTAAGTTCAAGTCTGCACAGTACAAGAATATAAAGCCACACTTTCCCCCACCCTCCACTTTAGCCAGAGCGCTTTGTTTATACAGCCACTTTCTGAGACAGACAGCTCTCAAAATCAAAGGCCCCTGGAGGCCAGGCAAGTAGCACAGATGAGGCTGGCCTGGTGTGAGCAAGAGGGAGCAGTGGGGACTGTGGCAAACGTGTCCTGAGGAAGAGGGTGGCTGCAACTCAGCTCCTACTCATTGTCGCTCTACAAGAGGGCGGCCCCAGTGCTACGGCTGGATCTCCCTATTTCTTAAGCAAATGGGAATCTGCCTATGTAAGATTTCTGGGAGTGCCCCGGCTCCGAACCAGACTTTCCAGGTTCGAATTCTGACCAGTTACTTAACCTCTTTGGGCATCAATTTTGTCATCTGCAAAATGGAGACGAATATTTCTGCCAAAATGCACCACCTAATTGTAACGATGACAAAATATCAGACAAACCAGACTGAGGCAACATTCTTCAAACCACAGACCTGGACCCTTCAAAAATGTCAATGTTGCAAGGACAAAGGGAGGCTGTTCCAACTCAGTGCAATACCTTGATCCTGGATGGAAAAATCACAGCTAGAAAGGACATGATTGAGACAAGTAGGAAGATGAACAGGGATGTTCTAGTAGATAGTATTGTATCAATGTCAGATTTCCTGAATTGTGGGCACATTGTAGGAGAATGCCCTTGGTTTTAGGAGGAAGTATTTAAAAAAATTTTTTTTCTTTATTAATTTTAGAGAGAGAGGAAGGGAGAGGGAGAGAGAGATAGAAATATCGATGAGAGAGAACATCAATCGGCCACCTCCTGCACGCCCCCCACTGGGGATCGGGCCCATAACCTGGGCATGTGCTCTGACTAGGAATCAAACTGGCAACCTCTTGGTGCATGGGTTGATGCTCAACCACTGAACCACACTGGCCAGGCTAAGGAGGAAATATTTAAGCATGAAAGGTCATGATAGTTAAAACTCATGCATACAGCTCAGGCAAAAACAGTGACTGTCATCATTGACGGTTTCTGTACTTGGAATCTGCCTACTTGCTGAGGTTGAAGAAGGAAACCCTCTGCCTTGTTTCAGCAGCTAGTATCCTCGTGGTCCATTTAGTGCCACGTTTTTCACGTTTTGTGCTTTTTGTTGATTTTGCCCTTTAAAACGGTCCTCAAGTGTAGTGCGGTGCTGTCTAGTGTCCTGGAT